GTGGGATCTGAGTCGCCTCCGTCTCCTCTTGGGGTGTAAAATCCTGGTCAGTGTACCTGGGGATGTGACGGTACGCCTGGGTGCGGGTTCGGCCATGCTAGCCATCTATGGCCTCTCCGGTCGCGCCACCACACCCCGATTTGGGCATTTTTTATGGGTGCGCATTTCGGACAGCGCCTGCCGGGCACCGGCCAAGCTGACGTCTTAGTCCAACACATCTACCGCGGGGTCCGTTTTGCGGGCAAAACACACACAGACGGCAGTTCGACCGTCGTTGCCAACGATGTCCACAGTGCGCTCCACAGCAGGATGAGAACAGATACGGCGACTTGCGCGTGATTTAGTTTATAGTGGTAGCAAACTTGCGCAGCATCTACCGCACTCTCCCCCCGCGCACCTGGACGCGGTGTCAGGGCAGCGTCAACAGGACCGGAGGCGAGAGGACGCAGGTCGCTGGCACGGCGGAAACCCGCACTTACCGTGAGTGACCGATCTCATGAAATGTTGACTAAAATTCTGAAATGCGTTTTCGATTAGGAAGGATTACGTGGTCGCGGTTGTAATACTGATTATCTTGCGGCCTAATCTTATAACAATTCGGACTGGGCAGGATGTCGGCTTTTAAATGCACTTCTTTTCAATCTCCTGTAGAAAGCGTTCTCGATAACAAATGACTACTTGAGTAGCATGCATTTTCCCATTGATTTTCGATGGTCTTGCAAATTCAAATATATTTCAGAGAAACAGTAAACAAAAATATGCCTTATTTTAGTCAATAAATAGAGAATCACATCTTCTTTATATTTTATACTCAAGAAAGGAGTATAATTAGGTTTTAAAAAGTTTCTAATTATGAGACTTTTTAAGATCGCGAAATGTCCATTCACATAGCATCGTACTTGGCCGTTTACCACTGCTCCTCATGAAATGTAGAACATAGTCCGCCTTCATTGCAAAATTTTATGGAATCTGTATGATATCTCTTTAATGGCATAGAAAAATATGTGATTTTCTTTACGCGGAAAGCATGCACCATGTAGACTGAAATCACTAAGCGCTAATGCGAAGAATGATCAGGCTCCAAATTATTCGGAGATTAGAAACTTTTTAAAAACTAATTATACTCCTTTCTTGAGTATAAAATATAAAGAAGATGTGATTGTCTATTGAGTGACTAAAAGAAAGCATATTTTTATTTGTGGGTTCTATAAAATATCTTTGAATTTACAAGACCATCGAAAATCAATGGGAAAAATGCAAGCTACTTAAGCAGTCATTCGTTATCCAGTACGCTCTCTACAGGAGATTGAAAAGAAGTGCATTTAAAAGCAGACATCCTGCCGAGTCCGAATTGTTATAAGATTATGCCGCAAGATAATCAGTATTACAACCGCGACCAAGTAACCCTTCCTAATCGAAAACGAATTTCAGAATTTCAGCCAACATTTCATGATATAGGTCACTCACTGTAGGCCTACGACCACACCTCCCTGGTCCACACCTGACACCGACCAGGATTTTTATACTAAGGATCGGAAACCAACCGGCGCGGCGTAAGACTGCAAGTGGGCCTGCTGGCCCTTCCCCCAATGTTGGCGTTTTTTATGTGTGTGCATTCCCACTAACACCTGTCGGATTCCGATCCAG